GTCTGTAGATGGACACATTCCGTTTTGGACACCGTTCTAGCGTAGGGATGGGCGATGTTTTAAAAAACATCGATGTTGAAAATAGATTTTTCTGGAAAAGACATCAATTATTTAAAAAATCGATGTTTTTCTCATTACATAGAAAAAAAAACAAATTGTTAAAAAAAATTTTTTTCTTCTCGTTTTTCAATTATTAAAAAAACGACGTTTTTCTCATTACACAGAAAAAAAAAACAAATTGTTGAAAATAATTTTTTTCTTCTCGTTTTTATTGAAAAAAATATATTGAATATTTTCCGTGGGGACGTTAGCTGTAATAATTGATAAAAATTTAAATTAAGAAAAAAATTCAAAATTTCAAAATAAAAACATCGATGTTGGGGCATGAAAAATCGATGTTTTCGATTAATCGACAAACATCGCCCATCTCTATATAGTTCTAGGGAAAATAGCGACAGCACGAAAGCCGGTGGAACAGGGGCACGAAAATTTGTGGACACATTCCTGGATGGGCAGATTCTGTTCGGGCGGTTAAACAGGGCCCTGTTTAACCACCCGATCTGTCGCCATTTCCCTACAACGTATTAAAAACAGAATGTGTCATCGGAGATTGTACAAACGATCCCTCAAATAAACACGATTTTGCGTTATTGTTGTGGGAGGAATTTTTTGAGGAATTGTAAGGGATGACGATGGAGGAGAAACTGGAGAATATTAATCCCAAATTGTATGGGAAAAGTGGGGAGAGACTGGTGACTGTTGATGATGAGAATGAGGAGGTGGCTGATGAGTTCGATGCAAGAGAGATTTTCGGTAAGTTGACAGGATATTTTGGAAGTGTTTATTTGAAATTTCTGGAGTCGTCGTTGATTATGTGTCTTTCTTCTTGGAGATTTGATTAAGGATATCAATGATCCTGAGCATCCACTGACTTTGGAGGAGCTGCATGTCGTTGAGGAGAACCTCATTGAGGTGAGAAGCTCATAAAAATTTTGTTTTTGATGATATTTAGGTAATAATCAACATATTTTTCCTTTTTGATAATAAAGAAATAAAATGAACGTTTTTGAATCAGCAATATCTGCCAACGAAATGATACGATTGAGGTTTATTAGGACTCGTTTTCAAGAATGAAAAAATATCTTCAAAAAGAAAAAAAATTTGTTGAATTTCACTCTGCCGATTTTCAGTAATTGCTAATTGAATAATGTTCATTCAACTCCTTTGTCTCAACGAATAATGTTGTTGTCTATTATCATTTTTATCATTAATATTTTATATTTCCATGAAAATATATTATATAGAAGGTCATTGAGCTGAGAATCTCGTAAGAATTTTTTTTTTCATATTCAGAAAATAATCAGCACATTTTTCTTTTTGATAATAAAGGAAATGAACCTTCCTGAATCAGCATATCTGACAACGAAATGATGCGATTGAGGTCTAGTACGGCTTATTTTCAAGCATGAAAAAATATCTTTAAAATGAAAAAAAATTTGTTGAATTTCACTCTGCCGATCTTCAATAATTGCTAATTGAATAATGTTCATTCAATTTCTCCATCTCAATGAGTAATATTATTGTCTATTATTATTTTTATCATCAATATTTCACATTTGCTGATAATTTTGTATTGTCATTACGTTCTTTCTATATAAATAGTCTTTATCAACAGGTGGATAATAAGAAAAATTTCGTAAACGTGAAATTCACGCCGACAATTCCCCACTGCAGCATGGTAACCCTGATCGGTCTCTCCATAAGGGTCCAGTTACTCCGAGCCCTTCCCTCTCGATTCAAAGTAAACGTGGAAGTAAATCCTGGAACCCACAGCTCCGAGGCAGCAGTCAACAAACAATTAGCGGATAAGGAACGAGTTGCGGCAGCCCTTGAGAATAATCACCTCGTGGGTGTGATTAATCAGTGCGTGAGTGTCAAGAATTAATTAAGAAACTGTGTTTATTTGTAGATAAAAAAAATAAATACAGATGAAAATGAACGTTAATACCTTTATTTCCACTTTATTGTATTGTTAACTAGTTTAATTTACAAATTAGGAGGCTTATGGTACGCAGTCTGTACAGGTTTGTTCATCCCTTCTTGGCCATCACTTGGGTCTTCTTCAGGTGCTCTTGCACTGGGTTGTAAGCGTAGGTTTTCTGGATGGGTCCTCTTCCAGCTTTGTTGAACTGGACTACGTCAACCTGCTGTCGTGCTGTCATTTCTCGGGCTAGTTTCATGTTTGTCCATGCTAAAAGTTAAATAGTATGGACGAGATGGCAATCAGATTTTGACAAAATCTATTTTTATACCAGAATTCACTGTTTCAAATTTTTGTCTAATGAAATTTTCGTCAAGTGTCTGTTAAAAATTCACTGTTGAATGGAGAAATCCATGGAAATTGTCATTTTTAGCTCAATTATCATCTACTTCATTTCGAGAATATGTTATACTCACACTCTGTGAATCCCTCCTTGAATTTTTTTGGTTTCATGAGAGCGTCGGGAGGATGCTGAAGTTTCTTCGGAATTTTGAAGAATTCTCGAACTCGTGGAATTTTGAGAAGGACCACTTGACCCATTCCATAAATATTCGTCACCGTCCAGTAGAACGTGAGTGCCTGTTGGATTCAAATAAATTTTTTTCATCATTTGTCAAGCATGAGAAACCTACTTGCAAGGTTTACTGGCTATGAATTAATTAATATGTATGAGTGTACATAATTCAAATCAATTGATCAGTGAAAGGGAAAATAGTGCTAAACATTATATCCAAGTATTCCCACATCTCCCTTACATTTGAAATTTTAAAATGAAATAAAATTGACACTTACTGCTGGGAAATTGATTACAAAAGGAATCATAATAACAGGCACTGCGTTGAGGGCATATTTCATCATGCCCAGGCTTTGCAGCTGGGGTGCGTCGATGCCCATTCTCATTGTGAGGGCGAGTGTCCCTGCAGTGATGAGGGGCAACAGATAGTAGGGATCAGGAGCTGTGAGATTCTCAAACCACCAGAGACCCCCATATTTCATACTCTCCACTGGTAGATTTGCCATGCCCCTCAAGGCAAAGAAGAATGAGATAAATACAGGTGCCTAAAGAAGAATCAAAAGTATTTTTAAAACATTGAAATTATCTTTTCTGTTGTATTTGGAGTTGAACTAGAGAAAAAAAATATTTTCTCAAACAAGTCTTTTTTTAACCAGAAAAATCGCCAGTTGAAAATGACAATAAATAAGTAAAATCTAGAGCTGGCTATCTGAAAACTGTCCTGAGATGGAAAAGTTTTGTGGCAAAAATTGATTCAGTAATTCCAAAAAATTGGTATTCTCTGTGCAAGCAAGAAATGTCATCTCTAGCTCGACTTCTTCATTACCCGATATTCCCATGCATAAAAAAAAATTTGTTTCAACGAAAAATGTTCGTTTTATGCGAAACAAGGGATAATAGTTTTTCGTTTCAGCTATTCGATAATAACAGACAATAAATAAATCCTGAAATGAAATAATAATGAAGATACAATAGCAAATATTGTAACTTAGGGACAAAATCTTTGATAAACTTTCAACTTGTTGGTTAAAGTAGAGCAATTACTTATGATTGAGAATTTCAAATTCGAATCGAACAGTTTCTTTTCTGGTAATTTTCAACTAGCATTTTTAAAATTTTTCCCCTCCAACGGGCCATTATCTAGACACTTTCATAATCAGAAAATTATGATTAATTAATTAGTTGAGGATTACCTGAGCCATAGGAACTATCATACTCTTTATAGGATTACAATTATGCTGCTTCATGTAAATCATGAGTTTCTGAGTTTCGGTTGCAACACCCAACTGATCCCCAGTGGCTCTAGCCTCTGTGATTCTCTGCTGGATCTTCTGCATGCCTGGCATCGTGTTGTACATATGCGCTGCGTTCCTCTGGGAGATTACGATCAGGGGAAACATGAGGGTTCTGATGCAAACAGTGCCTGATCACAAAGCAGAGTGAATGGTGTAGAAAAATCGAGGGATCACTGTGAAGAAAGTCTCAGTGAATGATTACCTATGACGATTGTTGCCCACCAGGGGACCCCGATTCCCACGTGCAGCCACTCGAAGAGCTGTTGGATTATTCCCGAGGGCCACCACGAGCCCAATCCCAGGGACTTGAATGTTGGCTCTGCCAGGGCTGACAGTGTCTCTAGTGCCTCAGGGGGAGGGGGGGCTATGGGGACATCTGAGGACATGAACGTTTAGCATTCCGAAGTCAGGTGAATTTTTTTTTTATGTATGCAGTTGAAAGTGGGCGGGATAAAATCGGTAGGGGAACTTTTTTGTACACCCGTAGAAATGGGGTATTGGAATTGCAGGAATGGGTTTATTCAAGTAGTTTGTAACGATGTTCTTAGGATAAAATATTCATCAAATGAATAGTTCTTGAAATATGAAGAAATGTTTTCTCGAAAACAAAAATTCATTTTTTAAGAACATGAAATAATCTTTTATTTGAGCAAAATTAACCGTTTATTTAAAGTTATTTTATTAGGATTTATTTGGAATGAATTAATTCATATGATTCAATTATTCATTAGTTGAAACAGGTAATTAAATTTTTTTTCATTAATCTATTCGAATTTTTTTTTGTTCAATTTATTTTTGAAAAAGTAAACTTAAAAAAAAATTAATTAATTTGATAAAAAGTTAACTTTTGATAAATGTCTCCAGATCTGAAGGTAAGTTATGATAAGTTATGATATGAAATTTTTTTGTAGTTATCATTTTCCTCATTAGCAGAGATTTTCATGAGGACTTCACTCCCCAAATTGCAAGAAAAAAAAAAAGTCATCTGTTAGACTCAACAATTGAATTCCTCTGGATCAAATAATAAACAATAAATTTACCTGGGATTACGGGAAGTACTTCTGCACTCGGTGGAATACTCTCCACTATATTCGTCGTCGTCACAGCTTCCGGGGCCACATTCTCGACGAAATTACCTGTGGAACAGATTCATTATTCTTTATATGATATGATATATTTTCTTTCATTCATCATTCTTTATGTATTTATTTATCTACTTATTTGTTTATTTATATGTTTATAGTCAATGCCAAATACCTTATATGTTTATGTAAGGTATTTGCCATTGTTTACAAGAAAAAACAAAACTGAAGGAATTGACAGATTCAAATAATTAGAGATTGAATAAGTGAGAGTTTGGCACAAATGACAATACGAATAAACATTCATGAAATTAATTTTGCACGTCAGATCATCATTCTTTATATAACATATTCTTTTACAGTCTGATGGAGCTAAAATATATTTAGCGAAACGTCGCATCCTTGACAATGACATCACAGTGACCCAGGTGATGACACCTGGTGAAACAGGTGATCTTTGCTTCCCTAAAAATCCCTGATTCCTGGATTAATTTACCTGTGGAAGTTTCGGTTGAGCTCTCGGCAGTGGTTTTCGCTGCCTGGAGAACCGATCCCAGGGCTTCTGCTCTCTCGGAGGTCTCTTCTGTGCTCAAACATCGTACGAACGAGGTGCTGAGGAGCGGTGAGTATCGGGAGAGCTTCAGGGCCGAATGTCTGGTGATTATCGTGCTGTTTATCCGGTGGGAGAGGTGGATAGATCTGCAGGAGATTTTCTGGAATAAAATCCTTGTAAAGTCACAGATCAAATTGTTCTCTCATTACTACATCCAGCAGATTGCGCATAACCTAAAAATTTTCATTCAATGTTTCACCTGAGAACTCACTGTTGTCGTCGATATTATGCGCCGGTTTATGATTAATGCTGTTCGCGACAGCATTTTCGTCGGTTATTTCTTAATGTCAATGATTATTTAAACTGCTGCGGCGTAAATACCGACAGTGCTCCGATAATCTACGAGGTTAGGGCACTCTCCATGCACTGAAGGCACGTTCTCAAGTTGAAAAAACAGGACTGCGTTCTCATGAAACGTAAAAATATTAAAAATTGTTTTCAAAAATTAGAATGGCAGAATTTTTTGTCTAATTTTGTCGAGGTTTTTTCAATCTTTCCTTTGCAGAATTCCGGTAGAATGTAAAATATTGAATATATTTTTCTTCATTTCAAAAATTACATTGTCTAGAACTCGACACTAATCGAGAATAAATGCGTTAGAATCAATAAACTTGGAGTGGGTGAGGCAAAATGGCAATTTTAGCTTTTCTTTCAATGTTCATCACAAAGGAAAGAATAATGTCTAATATAAATAAAAATTCGCACAATCAAATTTAAAAAAAATGTAATAAGAATTTTTTCAGAAAAAATTCTCTGAAAAGATTTTTTAATATTTTTTTTTCCTAAAATTTTTCCCTTTAAACGCATTTTCCATTCTAGTTCAAAAAGAAAAGTAAACTAATGAATAAATTAACTTAGAGGAATAGATAAATTGAAAAATTGTACAACTCCATCATAATTTTAATATTACTGATGATTTTATTCGAATGATGGCATGGCGTGTTGACACAAATGTCGATTACACTAGCAATATAACAATTTTCATTTCTGAAATACACCAAATACTAAAACTATAAATTTCCAATGACTGAACAATTATCAGTCAGCAAGGGATAGAACATCTCATTACGATATTAACTTCATCGTCAATCAATATCATTTTTCGTTAAATTACTGAAGTATCACGAAGCATCAGACACTGTTTTTTATTTCAAAAAGAAAAAACCATAACACTCGGTATTATATGCATTATATACAAAAGTAAATGACGAGACTTGGAACAATGCAACGAGATGATTCGTGATAAATGCGATAATGGGGAACTGGGGTAGTTCTGCCACTCGTAGCTCGTGCAACATATCGATATCTCCCATCCATTGATATTCCTATCGTTTGCGTTCGATTAAATGAGTATTGATAGGTTAATATTTTTTTTCGTCTTCAAATATAAAAATTATAATCTAGATATTACGGAATATACAGTACAGTTGTTTCCATAATAGGCAATAAACAGTAAAAAGACTAGATAGAGAGCATCTGGCAACTTATAAAAACAATAAAATAATAATATTTGAGCTTTGAAATGTCGTCCACACGATTTATCCATTGCACGAAGATCCATCGGGTGAAGTCACTTAGTGATTAAAATCATTTTAATTCATAGTTTAGCTCAATAAAAGCAATCTTAATTCGGCATATATGCGGTACGACGGTTGAAGCGGTACGCACTGGGCAAGAAATTGCGGGACAAATTCATTTTAGTAGTTTCTTTTTTTCAGCTCGGTATTCGTCGTTATGGCGTCCGGGGGTGTGGCAGTTTTACTAGGTGGGACATAGAACTGAAATTTAAAAACATTTCGTTAATTAGATTCTTTGCAATTTCAGGCAGGGAATTTAATGGCGAAACGAGACCCTCGGGATTCTCGTTTCACTATATTTTTTTGCGGATGAAATTTAGGGGTTTGTTACCTTTGAGAATATAATCAGTTAAGAGTGTTGGAACTGTGGGGCTGTCTTCATTAATCGCCTTCAGAACTGAAATAGAAGGGAATGGAAGAATTCATGAGATATTTTTGAATTACGAGGCATAAATGGAACACTTGAAATTTTCTTGCTGACATCTCTGATTTATTTGTTGGAAATTTTTATAATGTAATAGTTGCACTGAAATTTGAAGGAATTTTGATGTGGAAAACTCACGATTTTATGAATAAATCAATGAAAGCTGAACTTTAGTGCAATTATTCAATGGAAAATTTTCAATTTATTGAAAATTCAAGTAATTTGGGGAATTATTGTTCTCCAATTGCTCAACAAATTTGAACACCCATTGAATTTTTATTCGTTTTTCCTCTCCTAAGAATAACTACTAAACTCAAGTTAAGCTAAGTCATCATCACAAATGGCTAATATTCATTAATTGTTCATAGTGTTTTTAAGAGTGATTTATTTTCAGAAATAATGAAAGTTCTATTGGGATGAAGAAAGTATTGAAAGGTTATATGATATTGTTTCTACATTTTATTATAGTTCAAAGTATTGTATCAGGAATCGATTTAGGATTGAATTCCACTTCATTCGATCTTGTTTAGGCCGTGATGTTCCACAGAATGAAAATGGAGAAATATTGCCATTTAAATTAGTTATTGAAAGTGAAGATGAATAAAATGAAGATATTTTTTTCTAAAAATAAATATAAAATTCTTTCATACTTATTTATTAATTTTTTTATATAACAAATAATATTGAAAAAAACAAATACATATATATTTTTTTTTTTCAATATTTTATTATATATAAGAAAAAGATATTCAAATTTAGGATGAAAATAATCCCAAGTCAAGCATTTCGCAATGAATTGCTGCAAAAAACGTTATATTCTGTTTTTAAAAGTGAGGAATAACTTTTTTATTTTTTTACGTACTCTTTATGAGAACCTGAAGTGCCTGGTTGTTGGGGGGACCGTTGTCTGTGTGATATGGGATAACCGTTGTGAGGTACTGCAAAAATAGAAAGTAAGTACATCAATTATTCAATCACCAGCAAAGTTAAATATGTGAATACACGAATTTATATCATTTTGAAACACGAGAGGAATGTCTGAAGGGATTAAAACCCTTTAATTCTCTCGTTCAATTCGTGTATGAAATTTTGCTAATTTTACCTTCGATTCAGACATCGACCTGTGCTGTGGTAATGGGCTAGTGCCACTTCCTCTCTTCTTCGTGACATGATGCTGCCTCCGACGATTTTGCACAGCGAGTAAAAGCGATATAAATTGATTCTTCAGTTCCTTCTCAAATTCAAGCTCATCCCGCAGCGCCAATTCCGCAATTAGTGTTTCACTCAGAGCTGAGACGAGGGCCTCCATCTCCCCGAGGAGACCGATTAATTCACTAGACGACAATTGTTTCAACTCTGTTGGGGGGGAATAAATAGTCTCAATTAAGAGAACAACCCGAGTTAATATTTTTCGAATGAATATGGAAATGTTTCTGTTACTTTTTTCGTAGAGGGGAGAACCGAGGACTTCTCGGCTGCGCTCGAGGGCCTCGTCGGTGTCCAGCATGGAACCGTCAGTGTCCGGTGATCTCTCCTCTGAGGGACTCTCCTCCTGAAATTAGAAATTAATCGATTAATTTCGAAATCGGTCATCTCGTCGTCATAATGACGTTGTAATGATACATTAATTGAAATTCATGAACTGAAAATTGAACATGAAATTCATAATTCTGAGATATTTAGCAAATACTTCCTAGAGGAATAGCGAAAAATCACAAATTCATTTTTCTAATTTTTTAAAATATTAAATTATCTCGAGAATGAGGGGTTTCAAGGGGAAATTTTGGAAGGTTTTTAATGGAAAGAATTTCCCCAGCTCCAAGAAAGTCTTATTAATAATAATCATTGATAATAATGATTGGACAACAAAATTTTCCATCAAATTTTTGCAATTTTTCTAGAATTCCCAAATATTTAGCAAAACTTAGTAAAGAAATGGTTGAAAAAAAAACAACAAATTGATTTCAGAAGAAAACATCACGAGACTTTTGTTGCAGATAATTTCCTTAGCTTCAAGAAGATTTATCGACAAGAAAAAAAATATCTCGACAACGAGTGGTTTCAGGAAAAAAATGTCAAAAGGCTTTTGATGCAGAGAGTTTCCTCAGCTCCATAAAGGTCTTATTATTGATATCAATTCGTGAAGCACCTTATTGAGGTAATAATGATTATCAAAAATTTTTCTATTAAGATTTCCCACGTCAAATTCCCAATAGACGAATGATAAAAAAGCGCAAAATTTCTTAGAATAGAAAGAAAATTTCAAGAGATCGTTTTATGTAGAAAATTCTCTGAACTACAAAAAGATCTCAACCTTGAAAATCGACATTTTCCTCGGACCAATAGATTGACCTCATAAACCGATCTCAAAATAAAGTAGATTGATCGCCATCGCCAGTCCAATAGTCCGAAGCTAATGTTTTCCAGTTTTTTCAAATGAAAATAATTGAACGGACATGAATTACCTGCATGATGTCATCGATTTCACGCAACACCTCCTCGGCAGTCTTCATAGGCTCCTCAGGACTGTGCTCAGCATCAGTACTACTCGACAGGATCAATGCATGCATGTCGAGATCCGTTGCAACGGCCTCATCCTCACTACTCAGGTCGTCAAGTTCAGGTCTAAATAAAGCGCAAAGTGAGATAGTAATTATCGTTTAAAAGGTCGAGCATATTCCGATGTTTACCTCTCCAGTGACGCAACCGGCGCCTCGTTGAGATTCAACGTCGACATGTGCATTTTCCTGGCGTAAGATTTACTCCAATCGATCGGGAGAATACTGCCAAAGGTACCAGTGATCGTCCACCACATTCTGTGATAAATTATTTTTTTACAGTGGTCATACGCATTTCTCGAAATTTACATCCAGATAAAAGGGGATATCATTTTTTTGCGTTCTATTTCATGAGTCAATCTTCCGCTGGAAACAATGGTGTGAATGGAATGACAAAAATGAATTACTGAACTTTCAATCGATTAAAAATGATCTCATGAAAATTCGCTCCAGAGATATTCATGAGAAATTCCAGTTTCCACTGATGAAAAGCGATTTTCTTCGGCCCCAAATGTATATGTCAATCGAAGAAACTCTTTCGCATCATTAAGACTAATTACATCGAACCCCGAATACAAAAAAACTTAAAAAAATATTTCTCCGAGCGTTGACCCGTAGGATAATGAGTATTAACACCACATGATACCCCGACCCTCGAAAAAATAACTTGGAATCAAATGAATTACTAAAATTTCATCAAAAATTCTTCTCAATTCAAATTGACTCATCGCACTGTATCATATCACGCGAAGAGAGCAAATAACATGTTTCTAAAGTGAAAAATTCAAGTTTCCACTGATGAGAAGCGACTTTCTTCGGTCTCGAATGTAAATATCAATCGAAGAAACTCTTTCGCACTATCAAAAATAAATACATCAAACCCTGAATATAAAAAAACTCGCGAAAATCTCCAAAAAAGATTTCTCTGAAGATAGACGTGTCACTCAACCGATTGAGACACATAATTATACCATTGATCACTAAATTGTTCGCTTGATATCCCATCTTTGTACTTACAACAAGAATCTACAATGCATGGAGAGAAATTTTCTAGAAAAATTCTAGTTCGAGTCCTGGAAAAAATCACAATCCACCGGCTGTGAAAAATTCTAGTGCTGTTAAGGTTAAATTTCTTGGTATTTCTGGTAAAATTTCTGGTGCCGGCACTGGAATTTTTTCCTGGCCGTCACTTTACGCCTCTTTTTCCGTGCTAGCACTAGAATTTTTCTAGAAAATTTCTCTCGGTGTACACAGACGAATGCCCATTATTAAAATTGTTAAATAGGGAGTGCTTTTAATGAGTGTTTACCCCATCAAAAAAATATTTACTAGAAATTGCAGAAGAAAACACTATTCTAAAAGTTCATATAGACTCCGGGGTTCCGTTTCCTCTTAACAAAAAATAACATAGAATTGACGAAAAATGACCTCATGAAAAGTCAAATTGACCTCAACGCAAATTGACTAATCTCATTCTGTCGCACGACTGCGGCGAGTAAATAACATATCTTCGAAGTGAAAAATGCAAGTTTCCACTGCTAAAAAGCAAAAAAACTTCCTGAAACCCCGCAAAAAACATTTCTCCAACCGTAGACCCGTGGGATAACGAGCATTAACACCACATGATACTCTCACCCATAAAAAAGGCCCCAGAATCTGGAATATCCAGTCAGTGTGTTTTAACGAAAATCGAGGTCAGTACAGCATGCGTTTCTCGAGTTACTCCCCCTCACGTGACCACTTCATCTCGCAGGAAATTGTGACGCGTGCTCTGAGAAACGCAGCGCGGCTCGTGGCAGCGGTTTAATGACAGGGGAAAATGCATCTAACGACTGCTGAAGAATAAGAAAAAACGAAACTGGGATGTACGAGGCTCGTCGGCGCATAAAACCACCTCGAGTAATTTAATCGAATCCATTTCATCCGCCCTGAGCAATGTGCAATCGTATAATGAGGGCTTCCGATACCGCAAATTGTCACGTAATACTCATTCGAATGCCCGTCATATCCATACGTCGACCAAAAATGGTGAAAATAGGCTGTGGTTGTTGGTCTGTACATGGGAATGGGGGGAAAGGTAATTGAGGATTGAGGATACATGGGCGCAAGCGCGTCAATATTGACGCCACTCTGTACCGCTCTGATCCCATCGGCTCACTCTACACATCTTTACCATTATACTGGGAACAACGTAACGTAACAAAACTTTGGATGAAATTATTGTGGCGAATGGCTAATGCAATAAAACGGGAAATTAGTTTTATTGTTGATTGTCTCAGTAACGAGAGGTTTCAGGGGAAATGCCAAAATATCGCTTGACATTTGCAAGTCTACTCGTCGTAGAGATAATTGGAGAAATGGCAAAATGTTGAGTTTGACGAATGGAACATTTTTGAGGACATCCTAGTACTTTGGATGTTTTTTCTACTTTTGTAGTCGAACATCAGAGCTTTCATTTGAGCCCTATTTGACCCCAAGTTTTCGGACATTTTACAATGATTTTATTATTTAAACTTTGCAGGGCGGAATTAGAAACTCGATGTTGAACCGTTAGACAACATTTTGAAAGTCTGAAGAAAAATAGAAAGTTTACTTTTGAAAAAAGATTGACGGAATAATGAAAAAATGGCAATTTTTTTACAGTGCGAGCATTTTCTAAAATCATTTGGTCGAAATCGTAACAAATTTATTCGAATTTATTCAAGAAATCGATTTTATGCCTGAAAAATTTCCAAAAGGCAATTTTTTTTGTGAAGGTTTGCCAAAGTTTAAACAATTTCAATTATTTATTTATAAAAAATGAATGATTAAAACATAATAATTATGCAAAATGTAATTTGAATGGCGCTGAATATTCATGATTTTTTTTTTTCAAATTTTTCTTGCCCAATTTAATTGATAAATTTCATGATTGCAAATGGTTGAATCTATAGTGTGGTCTGTACCAAACTGTAAAGAATACTGGGATATCGTTAACTGGGATATCGTTTCGAGGGCTACAAAAATACTCCATTATAAAAAAACCCAATGTAACGTTTTTTGTCACCGGTTTATTCCGATATATATATTCTTTTTTTCTAAATACAATAAAACGAAATGAAAAATCATATAATAGCGCCACACGCAAAACAATACGCGCGCGTACATCTCTAGTCATTACAAAAATGTCGTTACCTCCCTAATAATTCGAGATATTCCCCAGAAATGAATGGGTTTTAACCGTTCTACCCCCCCTACTACTGAAATTCCGGAAATAACAGAGAAATTGCCAAGATGTTACATTATTTTGCATCAACTCCATTCTCATATCCACGATATTTTTATCGACGAAAATGACGGCCGAGTAAAGACGCGAATATCAGACAATGAGATTGCGCCCGCACTGTCGTTCAACCGTCCCCAAAAATTCGTTATTTTCGGAGATGAGTTGAATTCTCAGCGACCGAGCGGCCAATCTATTTTTCAGACTGAAGAATGTAGGGCGTATTCCGGCACTGACTCATTAAATCAGCTGTGATGTCATCAAGAATTTAATTACACCGTTTCATAACGCGTGTGGGAACATCCTCGACCGAGACGGAGGGAACACCTCAGTTACCCAAGTATTCAAGAACAAGAACTCTCTCTCGAGTTGTATTTCAGCTTGTGTTGTTCATTGCAGGTGCAATTTCGTGCTCGGCCGAGTAGAGCTTCGCCAACAGAGGAGCCGAGGGCGCGTGCAATATGTACCTGCGTCCCGGCCGATCGCACACGAGTATTCACCCCCTCCCCCCCCC